ACTTATTGACACTCCTCATCATACTACTTGTTCTTTCGCGCACGCTGAAATCCCACTACTTCTTCGGCGACGGTACATAATGTGTGGGAAATGTGGTTCCACTGCTCGCAAAAGTCAAATTGTTCAAGTCGAATGGCGAAGACGTTGGCAGTCTGTTTTGATTTTCACCGTTGATCATTCTTTGTATTGTTGAATGCACATTTGTTTGGTTGTAAAGAGGCTGCAACAATATAGTGGTCCGAGTAATTGTTTGGCCCTCGGAGGGTAATAGGTCTAAAATAACATGATCGATTTAGGTTAGGTTGAAGTGGCTCCTGTTATGTACACCAGCACACTTAGGCCCGTTGTGATACTATAATGGATGTCCTTAGCCCTGATAACGAGCTTATTGCTAATGGACAGGGAACGGATTTTTAGGACCTAAAAACCTATAAAAAAGGCAAAATAAAATAACGAAATAGGCTGGAAAAGGCAAAACAAAATAGCGAAAAAGGCAAGAAAAGGCGCTAGGTATAAAGCAAAATAAGGCACTAAAAAAAGAGAGAAAATACGAAGAATAATCAAAAAATACATTTATTTTAGAAATGTTTATATTACAAGTAAAAAGAGAAAAACTATGAACTAGTTTCATTATATGAAAAATTTGCACTTTGAATCTTTGACTATTTTATCCTTTCGAGTTTCTAACTCATAAAACTTTAATCTGTATAGTTGAAGTAACATTGAACCACAAGATGCATTTTGAAGTTTTCTGGCAGCATTTTCATTCGATTTTCGCGAAGAAAAGCCTTGAATGTACTAAATGTGCGCTCGACGTAAGTTGATACAAGTGGAGCCCAATTTAAATATGGAACGTTTGAAACGTTCATATTATCAGGAATAAGGGCGTTTTCCTCGCCCTTGACAATTTTATCCACATCCCTTATTGTCTCCAAGCCTACGTTAGCTATAATCACTTTTTTAAGGGTAGAAAAGGAAAAAAAGGCAAATATCTTAAAAAAGGCAAAAAAAAGCAACATCAAATGTGTATATANTATATGGAATCGGGGAAAGCTAAATCGTGGACATTCTTAATCGAATATACTCTATTTCTTTAGCAGAAAAAAGGCAATTTCCATAAAATCCGTTCCCTGCTAATGGATGTCGAAAATTAGCTCACCCCTTTCGTTGATGTCACTGCTCCCCTGCGCGGCGTTGTATGGTGTGGATTCGCATCACCTGCTAGGTGATTTGCTCTGCACTGGTGTCTTGGAACACGGCATTGAGATCCCTCTATCGCGAGCCAAGTATTTAACATGGCTGATAGTCGTGGTGTCCTCATCACTAAATTGAGGGAGAAGTGAAATATTTAGTTTGGCACTTTTCAGCTTGAAATTCGCCGACTTGAGCCCACATATGCTATGTTCTATCACCCAGGACACCTGTATTTTGTCGATATGGCTCCCGCGCCAGCCGTTCTTTCCAATACCGGCAGAAACTTCTTGATGAGCATCAGCACGGCCTGTTGGTTGGCCTTGTTGCTCGGCTCTAGTTTGAATACCCTCCAGTTAGTGTGTTGAAGAGCTGGATAATCTGCAGTATATCGACGAAATTCCCTTGAAGTCTTCCGCTTTAGTTTTGGATCCATGTGGTATCACAATGGGCCCTGATTGTGGCTAAGTGTGCTGGCGCCCGCTGGTCCTAGTTTTTCACCAGGGCAGACTTCGCCTAAGATGCCTTGCCGGCTGCCTTGTACAGTGCCACAAAGAACTCTCGTCTTCACATGCGGGATGATGGCGTCCCTGTGGTTATCCATTACATCCACATTGATAGCAAGACTTGCCGTCTCTGCGTAGGCACATTTCCATTGGCTCCTTAGTACCAAACCATCATCCTTACTGTCGTCCAGCACACCTATCATTATGCAGTCTCTTTAAACCTCTGAGAAAGAGTACCCTTCCGTCTTAGACATTTAAGCTTTCGTCAGCCATAAAGATTTATGAATATTTTTATGTTGGAACCTAGTTCTGCATACTACCATGTTTCACCCACCGGCGAGGTTGATCAGCCTTAGTCCGTGCCCGCCGCCAAGACTGAATTTTCTGACATTGGGACCAAAAATCTCTTCCTTGACCACCCTCGCATTGATGTCGGCTACTCTCAATTAGCTCACTCCTTAACGAGTCTTCGCTTGCTATTCAACGGATACTAGGTGTAAACACCGGTAGTCGTGAGCTGCTTGAACCGGATGGATGCAATAGAATCGTTTTTGGCCACTCCTTAGTGAATGGCGCTCAAAAACTTTCCCATATGCGTGAACTTCTGCACCCTGAACTATTCCCCGATTTATATATGTACATACAAGTATATTTCCGAACAAAAACTTTGTATCATTAATATAAAAAATTCATAACCTATATAATTTTATGTATTTCATAATTTATGCGTAAATTGAATAAACTTCATAAAAATAAAGTTCTCGTGCGTAAAATTACGAATGCAGTTTGGAGGATTTTTGCGTCTAACTTTAATTTAAAATGCTAATGAACGCACAATGCTCACTGGCAATACGCTTACGCACACTTACAGTTATGTATGCCGCAGCAAATAAATGAACATAAAAATGCCACAATCAAGAAATTGCGTGCCACTATGGAGGTTGGTTTCAATGTATACTATGAATGGATATAGATATGTACATACATACATAGTCTTATATAAATATGTACATATGTATGTAGGTATGCTCGCAGCCACTTTGGCCACGGCTGTTACGCTCGTCAACCAACTAACTAAACCAAACAAAATGAAAAATAAGTTTTAATTTAGTCCAAAGCATGGCGCATAGAATTGAATTAGAACTATAGCAATTTATGGTACATTGTGCAACAAATATAAATACATATACATACATCCTCTAGTCTAGTGTACATGGGCATACACAATTTTCAAATACCTCATGTGTACGTATTGCTTGCCAACGACTCGCATATTTTTAATTGGTTTATGAATGTGAAAACAACTTCATCAACCTTTTGAGTAAGTCCTTGCATGAATTCGTTGACGAGAAACTAATTTGAGAAAATTTATAATTAGCGCATTAGCGAAGATGGAAATTGTTCCAATGAGTGGCCAACATTGGCGCATGTTTTAGATTTCAGCAGTTGGGGTAACAAATGTTTTATGGCTACACATGCGGAATATCACATGGTTTTGCGCTTTTATGCATTATATGGTAGATTAAAACTTAAAGTAGACTTTATTTTAGTTTAACAATTTTTTAATTTCGGTATAATAAAAATGAAGCAATGAATAACACTGTGCGATACGCCAAAATATCTTAGGAGTTATGCTAATTTTCTGGTGGGTCTTGTCGAGTAAAGCAAAAATTGGAATATGAAATTTGCCCCGAAATCTTGACTAAAAAACCGATTTTCCACACCTCTTCCCACGTATACGGCTGTAACTTGATTGATTACACAGTGCTACAAAAGAAAAATCACGAAATTCTCCCGAAACAAGACTTACGTACAGGGTCTGGTACAAAATGAAATTAGGTTTCTTCCAGTTACTGAACCCTCCGTTTTTTTAACTCGTTATTTTCCTGGAATAAACAATACTATTTATAAACTAGGTCGAAGTTATAGCTGCTATTTCGGGGATCACCACATCTCATAAGGCTTTCTCATCGAGCTCACTGGAATTCGTACTAGTGACTTCCGCTTTCAAAGCAGTGGTCTACCCATTGCGCTATGTTCGTCGTATATACTGTTGTTGCTTTTTTCACTTTTCATACACTTATGTATCTATTAACAGCTTATTTATTTACCTTTAAAATGATGTCTAACAATATATTGCTGAACTTAGCTTAGGGTAAAAAAATACATATATTTTTCTTCATTTTTCAACTATGATCATCGCTAATATCAAAACTTTTTATGAAGATTGCTAAATATTTAATATTTATCTAAAATTAAATTTATTTTCGAATAAACAGAACCTCACCTAGTACAATTACATAAAACTTGTCAAGGTTTAGCAATTTAAGTTTTAATACGGCCTTGAATTTATATGTCCCGGACTTTGAGAGTTTTTGAGCAGTTCGGCTAAGAAATTCATCAATATTTCCTCCAAATTGATTAACGCATTGACAGTTTAGCAAAAAATTGTTTTTTTTTAATAAAATTTTAAGAAAAATGGGCCCACTTATGTCATATTTGTGTATCTCAAAAACTACTTCACCGATCTTGATCAAATTTAGCATAAACATTGCCCTTAGCCCCTTAAGCACTGTTTCGAAAATTTTTTAAATCGGACAAACACCACTCCTCCTGGTATATAACTAGCTTAGAGTTTTTTTTTTTTTTTTGAAATTACCCTTTCTTGGGTGGAGCGTGTGTTTTTCTTCCGATTTTCCACACGGTGCTTAAGGAGGCTAAGCGCAATGTGTATACCAAATTTGGTCGAAATTGCGTTTCTCTGATTCACTGCTCTTGCCACTGGACAATATCGTTACCCTCTCTACGCTGTCGGAAAGTGTTTAAGCTTCTTAAGCTAGCTACTAATGGCAATTAACTACAGCAAATTCGGAGACCATTCGGTGTTCAGTTAAGCGCACAAAAACGCAACGAATGCGCTCTTTCGGCTAAAGTTGGCTTAATGAAGAATGCTTCTGATTTCCTTACAGCCGTTTCCATCAATTTCAATTTAGTAATTTTACCGTTAGGAATGTTATTGCGATATCTCTTCACATTTGCTAGTCGCCTAGTTACGATGGAGCTTTAAGAGGTTAACTAAAGGGTGGTGACTCCTACCCTTATTTATAACCACTGACTACATAGCCATAAGTATATCCTCCCTATCGGTAATTCGCTGCTAACCTCTCGATATAGGCCGACCAGAGCCCAGTCAGCTTCAGCTCTCCGTTGCTTGTGCTTACTCAATTTTTATAACTTTTCAAACTCCAAAGAAAACTTTCCAATGCCTTAGTACTAATTTCACTTTACACACTTTTCTTACAGATTCCAACCACGTCGACCAGTCAAATATCGACTGTATCCCACCTGGTAGCGTTAGCTAATCAACAGCATGCAGCATGCAAATCATCCTCAACTGTACTAGAACAACAACAACAACAACATAAAGACAGTAGCAATACAAATACAACGCAAACCGCTATTGCCTCAGATGCGGCAATAACAACAACAATAGAATACAATAAGTTGCCACCCACAGCAACCACCAAAGTATGTATAGTAGCTCCCAATGACAGTAATGGCATTAACTCCACATCACCTGCGATAAATGGTGGCACAACAGCGGTCGCCGTTGCCAATGGCGCCGCTGAGGTGCTTGAAGATCCTCAATTACAACAACAGCTGCACCAAGTGCAGCAACAAGCCGACACAGCAACGTCAGTTGGAGGAAAGACAGTAGCGCCGCCAGCAGCTTGTGCCTCCAATGCCACCACAATCACTTCCATATCCGCATTATCGCCGCAAACACCAACAACCGGCATCACCGCAGGCAGCGGTGGTGGTGATGAACAACTGCATCCACTGGCGCCCACAGCGACGTCATTGGCTGCCGCATCCGCCTGCCAGCAGCTAACGCCTACACCCAAGCTGAAATATCCACAACCATTATCCAGCATAGCGAATCCCGTACACAAAGTGACAAAACGCAAGGAGACGTTGGAAGCGAAACGTGAACGGAAAGCGGCCAAAACATTGGCCATCATCACCGGTGCCTTTGTTATCTGTTGGCTGCCATTCTTCGTGATGGCGCTGCTATTGCCGTTGTGTGAGACGTGCGAGATTAACGATGGCATTGCGTCGGTATTTCTTTGGCTGGGTTATTTTAATTCAACGCTGAATCCAGTGATCTACACCATATTCAGTCCGGAATTTCGACAGGCATTCAAGAGAATTCTATTCGGTGGCCACCGTCCCCAGCACTATCGCAGTGGGAAAATTTAAGTACATAAATACCAGCCGAGATAGCAACTGGAGATGTAACAAATATGTAGTAAGTCAAAAAATTAATTTGTTTGGGAATTAAAAATTGCATCTGTTATTTAAAATAGGGCCAATGTTGCCAGATTCACAGTTTTAACTGTAAATTACAGTTTTTTTAGACAAGCTCATAGTGGTTTGAACTACCTCCTAGCACAAATTATAGTTTTTTTTCAAAATTCATTTATTTTAACAAATGAATTAAAATTTCTCTTTCGAGTTTTTTTTTGTAAGTCAATTTTTAAGAAAAAAGGGGAGGATAAAAAAACAGCGTCTCCTCATTTAAATCAAATGAAAAGAATAAATAAACTAGAAATTCTAGCACCCTCTGGTATTTAAGACCTAAAGATTTCTTTAAAAAAATCTTCAGGAGGTACTAAATTTGTGGTAGAAATGGTAAAAAAAATTAACAAATAAAATAAATAAAAAATAAAATGGGATTTAATTATTCCATTTTATTCAGTCTATTTTTGTTTAGTTAAGTATAATGTTATTGTATTTTAAATTCATCGTTTTTTAATATTTATTTTTTTATAGAATTAAAAACTTTTCTCTTTTTTGAAGGTACAATTTTTGGTCGAAAATACAGCTTTTCGGAAATTTACCGTTTTATAAAAAAAAATCTGGCAACACTGCATAGGGCTTCCTCCGCAATTATTAGGGTCATCGATTTTTGGACTTGTTTCCAAAACCACTCAAGGCAATTTAACATAAACTCATGTATATTTTCTTGTTCTCTTCACCACAACTGCCACTAAATCGTTGAAGCAATTTTGGCTGTTTTAACGTAGCACACCAGTCTGACTGGCGGCAACTAGCACGCCGCAGGTGGTCTTTCCAACGCACCTCCTCAGACATTGTATATGTATTGTAACGATTTATAGCTGAAACAAGGGATAAGAACAATGAGAAAAATTAAATGACTAATGGCAGCAAAGGCCAAAATTTCTATTCTTATTGGTGAGAAAATGCAATATTTTAGCAAAATTTTCTCATGTGAAATTTTAGACACTTTCAAAATTGAGAAATGAGATATCAGTTTTCAGAAAAATATAAATTATTGATTTTGCACCACCACATTAATACGCACAAAGAAATATGTTTGTATATTTGTATACGTCGAGAGATATTGTGCCGATGCACAGAAAATGCATTAGAATACACATAATCGAAAAATAAAAACAATATGGTGGGTTGCATAATGATAAGTAATTTTTTTTTTTTCAAATTAAGCTTTAATATCTTTTTATAAGAATATACACATGTACATATGTATGTATGTACATATGTATATACAAAAAAACGAAGGTAGTTTCATATACAATACAACTTTTTGATCATGAAGCATGACGCAATAAGAAAAGGATAATATAGCAAAAAACAACAATTTTCCGGCTCTGATATTCTGGTCGTATGTATATTTGAAGTTGCTAAAAAAGTTGAAACTGTTGGTACTACTTTACTGCTTTAATGAATATCTGACGGCCGTTGTGATGTTAGTCTTTGTATAAAGTTTGAAATTTTTATTTAAATGGTTGTTATTATAAAAGTAATAGCATAATATTTTTGGCCTTATAATAATGTTACTCACTATATTATATACATACATACGTATATATGGGTATAAGTACAACAATATAGAAGGAGAAAAAAACAATCACTGCAGATCAAACTGTATCTTTGTTTATACCATATTCTGAAATAAATGTTAAGACAAATACCCTCAGCAAATTCTCCACTCGAAAAGTCAACAAAATTTTTAAAACTCCACACATACATATATGCGTAAATGTACATACACATACATATGTGTACTATTGCAAAAACTATGCATACTATGTAAATACATAGAAAGAGCCAACATTGCGTATACGCAACATCTAAGTAACCACCTAGAATTTGCAGAGACAAATGGCAAACGATTGAGGAAAAATATTGTATATGTATACATACCTACCTAAGAGTAACTAGTACATATTGCGGAAAAAGATATTATTGGATAGGGACTAATGCGATTTTGTTGGTGTACAAACTCACTGCAGCAAAATTGATTGCATTTGCGTATTCTCATCTTACACTGCTTGAACAATTACTTTTCTGTGTTTTTCGTGTCCCACTTGTCAAAAAGCAATTTTACCATCGCAATTGCGGAAGTATTGGGGGTATTCTCTGAGTCTTACAAAGCCCTTGCACGTTGCACGGTTTGCACGGTTTGCAAAGCTGTCCCATACGAAAACCGGTTTTTACCTTGCAATCTGTGTACCGTGCAAGTGCTTTGCAAGATACGGAGAATACCCCTATTGTAAAATTGAAAAGATATTGCCGATTCGCTAAGTGTACATAGCTACTTAGAAGAGATGGTGGTATTGCCTTGAGAAGTGCTGACTGTTGTTTTTTTGGTTATGTGGATTAAAGCTTGACTTACAATAATCTAGTTAAGAATTGGCTAGAATCGCAGACAACAAAAAAGGGTACGCAATGCAAAAATAGTAGACGAAGTTAATTCGCTATGAAAATATATTTTTATCTATGTTTCGAAAAGACAAAGCAAGTGGGCGCACAAAAGCACAATAAGTTTTCCTTAATAAGCTTGAAAAGGATTCACAAATCCGCCGCTTAACTTTATATTTAAAAAAATATATATAAAGTAATACACATGCTGCCCAGCTGAAATCCAGCGCCGAGAATTCCTTGGTATGCTCGTATTTCGAATGGTTTTGTAAACCTGCCGTGGAAAATTTTCCTCATCAAATGTAAATGGGCTTTGTTCTAAAATTTTATATACAGTTCTTATCACTGATAACTTAAGTACAGCTATGTTAGCCCAGTCAAGTTAGCTCAAGAATTAGGGGTAAGGTAACAATAATTCGAAAAGAGCAGAAATTGAATGAATTGTGAAAGGTCCCCATCGATTTCGTAAATACCTGAATTTATTCAAAATCAAAAGTCACATAAATTGGTTTTCTTGAATTTTTCAGCCAAACTATAAGATGTATAATAAAACTTTTCTACCGAGTTTTTGCGGACTCTGTATGGCTTACAACCATGTAGAGGAGGTAACTTATGGTTCAAATTGGGCCCTACCCACTATTTTTTGCAGGGACCGAACATAACAGTTATACGAAGGAAAAGTTCTACAACTAAGTGATACATACCAATCGATTTCTTTTTTCACTGAGACTCAAATTTAAAAATAAATTTTTATTTGCAATTTTTATGCAAAATTAAAAAAATAACAATAATTTTTGATGTTTATATTATAAATCCAAAATAACAATTATTTTTGATTTTTATATCATATATCTTAGATAACAGTTATTGAAGACTTTTATTTATAAAAGTCATCAATAAAAATCAGTCGGGGATTTTTACTTTGAAAAGTCATCAATATAAATCAGTCAACGACTTTTATATTTTAAATCATTCGTATAAAAGTCATTAACATTTTTCGCAGTTAAGAAGGTGTTGGGAAACAAAAGTGTGCTACGACTTATAATAATAATAATAGATTGGTGCTTACACATTTGTTAGTGTTTGGGCGAGCTTCTACGACTTATACAAATGACTTCTATAAGTATGATTTAAAAAATAAAAGTCAGTGGCTGATTTTTATTTACTTACTTTACTTTATAAATAAAAGTCTTCGTTAACTGTTATCTAAGATATATAATTTAAAAATCACAGTAACTCTTATTTGCAGATTATTTAGATAAAAATCAAAAATAATTGTTATTTTGGGTTTATAAAATAAAGTTCAGGAATAACGGTTATTTAAGGAGAAATTAAATAAAAGTCAAAAAATAATTGTTGTCCCTGATTTTTTCTCCAATAAATATTTTTTATATAAATACATGCAAACATACTAGTCTCCCCTCTCCCGATTTCTTTTGGGTGTTATCACATTTATAGAGATCATGCTTTGACGTGCAGGAATCTGGAAGTTTACGGATTCTTTCATTTGGATATTTGGACGGCCGCTGTGGTGTAGTGGTAAGCAGTGCGCGCTTTCACTCATCAGCACCTGGGTTCAAGCCCTGGTCAAAGACACATCACAAAAAATATAGAAAAAGGTTTTTTCTTAACAGCGGTCGTCCCTCGGCAGGCAATGGCAAACCTCCGAGTGAATTTCTGCCATGAAAAACAGCTTCTCATAAAAATACAATCGCCGTTCGGAGTCGGCGTAAAACTGTAGGTCCTTCCGCTTTATGTGACAACATCAAGGCGCACGCCACAAGTCGGAGGAGAAGCTCGGCCAAACACTAACATATGTGTAAGCGCCAATCTATTATTATTATTATTATTTGGACGGAAAGTAAATTTTGTATTTTTTTTTTTTTTTTTTTTCATTATGCAATATTGTCGACAAGTTAGTGATTAGATCCGAAACTACTAATCCGGTTAGAAGATATCGTTAACATAGAAGATACATAATAATAGATAATAATAGAGTCGCGGATACACAATATGTTAGTGTTTGGCTGAGGTTCTCCTCCGATTTGTGGTGTGCGCGTTTTACGCCCACAATTTTCATTTACATACAATAACAACGTTTCAAATCATTACCTTCTTAATTATTTGTGAATCCATAGATCCATTACCATTTTCATATTTTTTCAACCTTAACTCTCCAAATTCGTAAATGGATTTCCTAGAAATTACATACTCTCAATTCTGATTTATCTACGAATTTTAAAAGGTTTTCAAGCAGAAATTAAATCAGTAATTTCTTGTTAAAGCCTTTTATTTTTCTCTATGGCACTTATAAGCAAATTAATTGGAAATATGTATGCCATGCACTTCCTTAAGCAGTTGCATAATTAAATACTTAAGCAAGCAAATGGTTATTCACTTCAGCTGTTAGTTATTCCGACATAATGTTATTCCCATTCCCCACTGGCAACGAAATTACTTTAAGTGGCACATCTATTCGCTGATGATAAAATATTTTATTTATCATCTTATTATTGACAAATACTAGTACATTGGGCACTTTACGAAAGATGGTGGTACATCAGTCTGCTATGCCCTGTCAGGTATCCGGTGAGAGTTCTTAAACCCTCCCCGCTATAATTTAGCAGCCCGTCAGTTGTTCCACGAGAGGGAGTTATAAATCTTTTACCCTTTGTCGTGTGCCGTTGGGCTATAATTTGCAAATCCCCCTATCCCCTTAGAAAGCTCTGCTGTGTATCCTGTGGATGGACCAAAGTAGGGCTAAGAGCCGAACTGGCACCGTTGTCCACCACATTTCGCTAGAGAGTCAGCCCTTTCGTTGTCATCGAAGCCCTAATGGCCCAAAGCCCACCACAAGGCTGTTACTCTGTTGTTTGTTCCTATTTTGTACCTTTTGGCAACTGTGTAGTACCTTTGACACCGGTTTTGCAAGTATCAGTTGCTCTCTTAATCCTGCCCGGCTGTCCGACATGGTGTATATTGTTGTCCCATTTGTCCTTCTGTGAAGGCATTCGTGCACACAGACTTCAATTGCGAAAATTTCCACCTGGAATATGGTTGGGTATATGCCCATCCCGACGCTCCAGAGTTTCTATCCTTAAGTTGGGAACTACCTGTGTGCCAAACTTGAGTTCCCTCGCTGAACATGGCAATTATCATTCAAGTATTCTTACCTTGTAGGGTTTCATAAAAGTCAGCTTTAATAGCATTGAGTCTATGAATTTCACTATGGCATCATTTATAACTGGTTTTTGGACAGCCAATTATGCCTTAAGACCCTTCTTAGGTTCGGCAGTCTCAGTGCGCTCCAGGAAGCCTCCTTGTCCTGAAGTGTAGCTAGAGTCGGTATGTTTGTGATGAGTCCAAACGCCTCTGTCGCGGCACGTTCGCATGGCCTCCGTTATCACCACACAAATCAGGCGGTGCAGCTTACCCAGAGTGACGTTTGAGGTGGGGTGCTTGGCTTTTGGCCACCAGGCCAGTGCAGCATAGGTGACAATCGGTTTTATCACTGTACTGAATGACCAATACGTTAATTTCGGGGATATTCCCCAAATTTTTGCCATGGAGCCTTTGACAAGCATGAAATGCCCTCGTGCCTTTATTGGTAAGCGCTGGTAGATGTGAGTTCCAGTTGAGTCTCTTATCTAAGTAGTATAAGCCTCTTGTGAGAACTTAATCTATGTCCCATCACACCATCCTATGGCTCTATGTTTAGAGCGGAATACATCATGGAGCATAAGGTCTCCTCATCCCATTAAAGCCGTTCCCCTTAAGTCTTTCTTAAAGTTCGTCCACAACCAGTGTTCACAATAGTGGAGAAAGGACCCCCTCCTTGCGGGCAGACACGAGTGCCGCTTGCCTACTACCTTTTGGTTCGACTATTATGGTTCTGGACTTCAGCATGAGCCTGATATGTCAACAAAATGCACACAGGGCTATCTGTTGGGTTATGCCATGTATTGCAGAAATGAAAGATTTCACTGCTTGAAAGCTTTTTTCAAGTAAAATTGTCAAATATCTAGCTCTACTCAATCACTGTTATACGAGTAAATTTTTTCCAAAAATACCTAGTTTGTTTCGACTGTGCAGTACTATTTACGTCCTCAGTACCAGTAGTCAACAAGAATTTTGGCAAATGGCAAGCAATCATTCAATCAATTTGCATCCTGGCAAAATTGGCGCACACACGCCTAATTTTATGCCAAAGGAATGCTCTTGGTGAATTTTTCGTAACTTCCGACTCGTAAAGTACGCATTGAAGTAAGGCGGAAACTGAAGTTAAATTGGCGTTATGGATACGTAAAATGAAGGAAATATCTGCGCATCTATTTGAAGTTAAAAAAGTGACAAGAATGCATTGAATACGGGTTTCAGTGCCGAATTTTGAGAGAAAATATTTTTCAAACGACAATTGCCGGCAAATAAGTTAAGAATATTTACATAAAAAAAGCATTACCCACCAATAACTGATTATCTTATTCAAAAAGTGAGCTCATTCAATTGTTTATATGAAAATGCAAATTAAGCTAATTGCGGCTTTTTATGAGTACATATTTTTTTTTATTCTTACTGCCCTCTCTTACCGAATAAATAATATTTATTTCACAAGCCAAAATGTAGTCATACATAAAATTTATATTTATTTATACACGCGTACATTTGTCCACAAGTTTTATGAAAATGAGCAAACTTTAAAATTTTTTTCTTTGCCTTTTCCCAACTCCACTGCACTCAACGAACTTATAATACCGCAAAATGCACCACATCAAGTGCTATCATCCGGCATTTACTTTTATTACTTCCCAATGCCATTGCCACTTTTTTTCGTTCAAAAAGTTCCAAGCTCCATCTCCTGTAAACCAGCGCTTGCACTGTGCTCAATTGATTCTCTCGCTTCCCCACAATGCATGTGCTTTTCTTTTGCTGATTTTTTTATCTTAACACGCCTTCTCTCTACACATTCTCTGTCTTATGCTAGCAAAAATTTCCAAATACTTTTGGAGAAAAGTTAAGTCGGCGGGTCAACGCCAGCGCTGCTGAGGGCAGAAGTTGCAGTAGCGACGAAGATAGTAACAGACACAATACATTTCTACGTACGGATGTATGTACGTATGTATGTATGTACTAAGCACGCAAGTTTAATACTCGTAACTATGGTGGGTGAGATGGGAAAATACGTTGAAATAAAATATTTATAAATGAGAATGGCCATGATAATGAGTTCCCGAGTGAAGATGACAGCAGCGGTGATAAAATGCAGATAAAACTTTAGCTGTTTTCGGGAAATTGATAAGAAAAAAAATGATTAAAGCTGCGGGTAGATGTCCTAGATTTCTATTATAATTTAATATGACAAGTGATTTTGATCTCTTTTTTGTATTTTTCATATTATGTTAATGGAAATGTCCATTACGTTTTTTTTTTTTAATAATTTTCTTAAATAAATATAAGCAAACGAAAATATTTATGTACACGTAAGGACTTGGCACCTTTTCACGTTTAGGTGACGATATACATATGTATGGATGTTCATATTGTATATTGACAATAATAAGTGTATACATTGGCACTTACGAATCAGGTATATTTATATGTTTGGGGTCGTCTTTATATTCGTGTAAACAAGGTTGCTAAAATACTTGGAAATACATATTTTCTATTTTTCGCAATTTTTATGAATTTTTCGCAATTTATCGCGGAACATACCAAAATCCAATAAAGCCTACCAACCTACCAAATGGAGAAAAACTACGAGTAGGAAATGCTCATGTGTGGCAACACTGGCATATTTACCATCTAATGAAGCATACTTTCGGTTGCACTGTTTTCTAATCCTAGCATACTATCCTACCAATACTAGCTATAACATAAATGAGTCGGTGACATATTAAAACAGCCTAAGTCTATACACGAAAATTTTCCATAGTTTTGGTGCAATTTGCACTAATCTAACAAATAAATGAAGACACCTTTCCAAACGTACAAATAAATTATTTAGTAAAAAAATATTTTTAGGGGTGTTGCCACCCATTTAAGAAGTAAAATTCGATTAAATAATAGTTACTGGCAAGCGAAAGGGGTTCAAAAGGATTTATTTCGAGAATATTCTCAAATTTTTTGCCACCAGTTCCTTTAAATTAACAAATGTAACGAAATATATTTTTTAATAAGGGCATCGAACGAAAGGGGATTAAGAGAACTTTATTTAACATATTTTTTTTTTTAAAGGGAGCGGGTACCTGTTTAGAAATTCCATTTAATCAATTTAATTAACGACTTAAATAAAATCTTTTATTGTAGGTACAAAACGGCAGCAGAGGTTTTTCGAAAGCTGTATTTACTTATTTCGAGAATATTTTTGACTACGGTAGCAACCAGTTTAGTAATTTAATTGACAAATTAAATTAAATTCTATTAATATTATACAAACATGTGAAAGTTCGTGAGTGAGTATGTAAGCAATTTGCTGGTATTTCTCTGGTTTAGCAGGCTGATGGTTTATTACCAGGATTTACATATGGCATTTTTCATTTCAAAGTTCATTGAAGTTTTACCATATAAAAGCCAAACGAACAAGAGTTAAAAATGCTGTATTACGAAAACAGATTCACTTTTATTAATAACTTAAATAAATTATTGCCATATGGGGGGCAAGCAAACGAATGAGGTTTAAGAATGCTAATTCCGACGTTTCTAAAGTGGTGATTTTCACACAACCGACAAGGAGCGCGAAGGAAGATCATCAACTTTTGTCGACGCCGAATTGAAGGCAATTTTGGACGATGACCCAAGACATTCTATTGCGATTGGGCAACCAGACATGAGTCATTGATCTTCCACCTTGACAACGCTTGGCATGCGGTCGCACAAGTGGTCAAAACTTATCTCGATGGTAGCGAATGGGTAGTCCTGACCAACCTGTCTTATAGTCCAGATCTTGCACCATTAGAATACCGTTTTTACGGTCGATACAGAACGTCCATGCGGAAGCACGTCTCTTCAGTTCACGATTCGCTTGATTTCTTCCATGCATTGCCAGTAATGTGGAAAAAAGTCTAAATATTTAGTTAGTGATCGGCTTCAATAATATACATTGTACCTACCAATTAAAAACTTACTTAATTATGCGCTTATCTATTAGCTTATTATCTATTTAAATAAATAAATATGTATGTAAATAAAATAATACTAATCCACTACTTTCTTTCTTTCTTCCTATGCAGAAAATCGTCGTGAAAACAGCAAAAAAGAAACAGCCACGCTCAACTTGGCAGCAATCTTATCTAAAGTCTTAAAGTTTTCAACAGTTTTCCCAGATATTCACAATTACTTTCAACTTACTGCATGGCAGAACTATGAAGAAAATATAAATGCAAATGGCAATGGTCTTTGTTGCACAAAAATTTATAAACTTATCTCTGCTAATCTAAGCTAAATTAAAAAAAAAAAAAAAAACATTATAGTTACAAATGTTAAATGCGAAACAAACGCCGCCGCGGGGATGAGAGCAATAAGAAACAACACCAATCATTGATTAGTAAAACTAGAAGATAGACAACAACAACAACAAAAAAATCAAAAACAAATAAAACTTTTCTTATCACATTGTGCTCATGTTTCTAAGTAAAATAACAAAAACAAAAAATAAATAAATAACTAGTTATATAAATCTAAATGTAAGATTAGTTGCTAGAAGCCGATTGTTGCTGGCTTGCAGTCAACTTAAGATAATATAAATTAAATTTAAAGCAAAACAAATACAAATTAGAGGTAAGTTAAAACAAATGAAAAACACGAAACTGAAAATCAAATTGCTGCTCCTGCTAAAAGTATTTGGTAATAAAAAAAAAGCAGTAAACTGTTTAACAAAATATGGCAAACAATTCTACGTTTTTAATACAATGTTATACATACATACATATAAATAGATAAGAACTATGTATATGTACATATATGCTTAGTCGTAAGCCTCTTTATAACGGGTGATTTTTTAAGAGCTTGATAACTTTTTTTTTAAAAAAAACGCATAAAATTTGCAAAATCTCATCGGTTCTTTATTTGAAACGTTAGATTGGTCCATGACATTTACTTTTTGAAGATAATTTCATTTAAATGTTGACCGCGGCTGCGTCTTAGGTGGTCCATTCGGAAAGTCCAATTTTGGGCAACTTTTTCGAGCATTTCGGCCGGAATAGCCCGAATTTCTTCGGAAATGTTGTCTTCCAAAGCTGGAATAGTTGNGCCCCTAGGTAACTATTAATAATACGTATGTATGTATGTATTTTCGCTGTATGTACTATATAGTAAGTAAGTATGTTGATGGCTACTAGAATATTTTCATAAATTTAATAGTTAATGTTTTTTCTAACTCGTAATTGTTGATTAAGTGTTACAATTAATTATTTTGGTACACAAAGAAATTGTATGTATGCGTATGTAAAAGCCAAAAACAAAAAAAAAAACAATAACAAGCAGTTATCTTAAAGGGCAAATAAGAAGAATAACTGATTAACAGTTTATAAATCAATTGAATAAGCTAAACAAAAGTACACATTGCATATGCAGTGATTTGCATACATGTTTAGGTACATGCTTGTATTTGTTCCAATGCTACTCATAGTTGTATGCATACATTCATGCTTCTACATACTATTTAGATAGTATAGCGCTAAGCTGTTAAATAGATTTATACTTACTTAACAGTTGTTGACTTAATATGTACGGAAAATCGTTCCACAATACATAATATGTATGTATGTATTTAATTAGCATTTAAATTGATATAAGCCAAAATTTAAATAAATAACTTCAAGCAAAAATAGTGTATATCGCCGCCAGAAATGCAAAAAGACGTATCAGCATTGTAACTGAAATGTAAAAAGTCGTGACTAATAATTTCTTTTTTTTTAATAAGATGGTGTGGTAGTTGTAATTCGAAGAAGTATCAAAAAGTGAATTTTGAATTTTTTATTATGTTTGTTACGTCTTTTTGCATTTCAGGTGACGTTATGTATGTGTATAAATATGTATGTATTAACATAAGTGAGTGTGTGTTCGACGAAGTAAAATTTTGTTATTTATGTACAGTCTAAATAAATTACGCTTAGCTCAAAATAATATTCATAAAATTTATAAGTATATAGTAAATGTAATGCTACAAATTTATGAACAGAATTTAGCAAAAAAAAAATTAAGTAGTAGCAATAGGGATTTCTTTAAATATTTGCATACAACTACGCAAATAAATAGAATATGTAGTTAAGAAAAATTGTTAAATAAAAAAAAACACAAAAAATAAAGTAAGGTAAAATAGTTAAATAAATATAAATATTGAGTTAACTAATTAAAAAAAAAAATATGTATGTACTAGCAAAATTACAAAAAGTATGTAATTTTTCGGGAAATATGGGTAACACTATAATATTAGGTGATTAAAAATTGTGAAAATGTATAAAATAATTGTTCCACACACCTTAAGTTTGACGTACATAAGTATGTATGTACTTATTTAAGTTTATCATTTATATTCGAAGAAAAAGTAAATGCAATACAAAAGGAATTATTGTAATCCATAGCTATACATAATACTAGTTTATGTAGTTAAACTACTTGTAAACGCAAATTTCTTATAATTGAGTATAGGAATGCATTACCAAAAAGGCTTCACAAACTCGCGTACATATATGTATAACTAAGTATTTTTTAGCTGAGATATGTAACCGCAAAAAGAAAAAGAAAGAAATGAAAAATTAAATTTAGCTAAAGTAACAAAATAAAATAAGAAGCTAACCATGATTCGTTGTGGGAGCTGAGAAAATTCAGGAAAATCAAAAAAACATTATACATACATATATATACATTAGGGCGGGTCAATTTGTATGGGAGATTTTTTGGACTAAGGGCGTATAGCGCAGAAGGCTGCCACATGTAATTCCAAGCAAATTTGCCGAAGAAACCATGGGTCTAAAATCAATTTGTAGTTTGCCAAATTTCGAAAATAGGTTTTCCTAGCATTTTGCTGTAGTGTCGTAAAGGAGTGCTTAAATTTTGTATAAAAACATGCTATAAGGGGTTATTTGGTATGAGGAATCCATTTATGCACTTATCTTTTCCAGAAAACTTCCACCAGAGGGCGCAACAGTGAAAATTTTCTCATTTTCTTCGAAACCAATTTTCGCAATTAGGCAAACTTCAAATCGATATTAGACCCCATGGTTTCTTCGGCAAATTTGCTTAGAATTACACGTACAATATACCGTACGCGCATAGTCAAAAAAAATAAATTACCCTACTAATATGTACATAAATACAAACATACATATGTAACACTGGACAACAACATTTTTCGGCAGAATCAATAACAGCTGACTCCTATAAATTTTTCTGCACAGAACCAGAATCTGACCGTAGAAATTACAGATTAGCTCCAGTTTTTGAGATATTTTGACTTGAAAGTGCAAAAAAAAACAAATTATTAGCATATTTGGAACCGTTGTAATATAAAAACAGTACATGATGGAATATTTTTAATAAGATGTAAAGAAAGCTTGCACCCTATTCTTTTATTCCGAAAGATAACAAGATTTTAGGGTAGTATTTATTTTGAAAACTTTTTAAAACACACAAGTAAGCAAAAAGTCGAACATTTCTGTATATTTCTACTTTAAAAATTTTAACATATTTAACTTATAAAATTTCATGTTATGGGTACTCGCCATGCATATTTTTTTAGACTTTGTTTTTGTAACTCATCTTTATTTCAAATCAAATTTTTACCTTTTGAGCTAAAATAGCAATTTTTAGCTTTTTTTTATATCGTATTCAAAAGATTCTACCAGACCCCGTTATTCCATTATAAATAGATGTCTAAAAAATTCTAAAAATTTGTTTATTACCACTTTTAACACAAAATATCTCAAAAAGTAGAGCTAATCTAATATTTCTAATTACAGATTCTAATTCTACGAAAAAAATTCCATAAGAATCAGCACTCGAGCCGTCACATACGATATCGTATAATCGTATTGACATGCCAGAAAAAAAGTTCACCGTACACTTTCGAATCTATAGTATTTTTGCAAACCGATTTCGGAAAAAAAATTTTTTTTTTTTTGTCGAATGGAGTGGTCACCTTTTTACATTTTTCGTCATAACTTCGGAATTCGCAGTCGGCTCAAAGTTTATTGACCTCAAGTACCTCACTGAGTACTTACCAACCAGAGATCAGTTCTTATCATCCCAACGTACCACCCTAATGTCAGTAAATTAAAGCTCGCCAAAAATCATTCAACTTTTGCTACCGGCTATTTTTTCAGTAAAATTATTCCTGTTTGTGTAGGTAATATGTATATCGCACACGATCTTCAAAAGTGACACAACTCAAAATTTGACATTTTCGAAATTATGCACTTAAAATACACCGAGAGCTTTTATATACCTTGTAAGCAAAAGCTGGAGCAAATTTTTGTTATAATTTGTTGAAAAAAACCTTAGGTAAAGTCACCATTTTCTGACGAACGTGTAATTTTGAGTTGTGTCACTTTTGAAGATTTATCTGGTCAATTTAATTATGTTCTGGACATGGGTCACTAGGTCGCCGTGGTTGTTCTTACATGAGTTTGCCCTAACTAGTCGCGAAACTTTGGCTAAGTCGCCTAACTTTTGGATAGAATCGTTGGGCTTTTTTTCCGTCGATCAGCATCTCTAGATTTTCACACTCACGAAATTCAGCCTCGCTTTTCTTATTACGCTTCTTATCTCGCTTCCATCTTCAGGCCCTCGTATTGACCCAACATATCTCGATCACAGCATGGACCTGTAGTCGGCAACTCTTTTTCTTCTGCAGCGTCATATCAGTTGATCTTGCGGACTAGCTGAAATCCTGCTAATTCCCGGCGGTGGTACGTAACTCAGTTTAGCTCGAATTTAAATTTCTTGATTAATATATTTATATATGTGTCGATATACATATTTATCGGTTTTGTTATCGATATCCATTTATTTTTCGATATTGTTTCAGATATATTCATTTATTTAATTTTCGGTATATTACACAGGCACACAAGAACAACAAGGTGCCAGGATCTAGGAACGAGACATACATATGTACTCCTATGTATTTTGACACGCTGAAGCTGAATTCGATATCAGTATCGGTACAACGGTTACAGCCTGGCTTTTCAAGGTTAGGAAAAAATTCGGTTATGATGAAGCAAAACGGACTTCACATTCCTGTTCAGCACAGCAAAATACATAGCGAAAGGATATTCTTGTTCCCGAAGCCCCGTACATTTTTTTGTGACAGTGTAAATCTGTGCACACCCGCACAAAAACAAAAGAATTAAAAAAAAGTAGCTAAACTCGCGGATCAGACTCTTGTTCCTTATATATATACATGCGCTGAACGCGAA